TGAGGCGACTAAAATGCCGGGGGCAATGGGCTAGTAACCCCTTCTCCTGTAGACATTTACTAAAAAAGAGAAGAAAAAAAACTTTATAAAACTGGGATGCTTAAATGTGCGTGGATGTAGTGCGGATGACAAGAAACAGATGATTGCTGATGTTATGAATGAAAAGAAGTTGGATGTCCTGGCCCTAAGCGAAACAAAGCTGAAGGGGGTAGGAGAGTTTCAGTGGGGGGAAATAAATGGGATTAAATCTGGAGTATCTGAGAGAGTTTGAGCAAAGGAAGGGGTAGCAGTAATGTTAAATGATCAGTTATGGAAGGAGAAAAAAAAATATGAATGTGTAAATTCAAGAATTAATGTGGATTAAAGTAAAGGTTGTATGCGAGAAGTGGGTCATAATAAGCGTGTATGCACCTGGAGAAGAGAGGAATGCAGAGGAGAGAGAGAGATTTTGGGAGATGTTAAGTGAATGTATAGAAGCCTTTGAACCAAGTGAGAGAGTAATTGTGGTAGGGGACCTTGAATGCTAAACTAGGAGAAACTTTTAGAGAGGGTGTGGTAGGTAAGTTTGGGGTGCCAGGTGTAAATGATAATGGGAGCCCTTTGATTGAACTTTGTATAGAAAGGGGTTTAGTTATAGTAATACATATTTTAAGAAAAAGAGGATAAATAAGTATACAAGATATGATGTAGGGCGAAATGACAGTAGTTTGTTGGATTATGTATTGGTAGATAAAAGACTGTTGAGTAGACTTCAGGATGTACATGTTTATAGAGGGGCCACAGATATATCAGATCACTTTCTAGTTGTAGCTACACTTAGAGTAAAAGGTAGATGGATACAAGGAGAATAGAAGCATCAGGGAAGAGAGAGGTGAAGGTTTATAAACTAAAAGAGGAGGCAGTTAGGGTAAGATATAAACAGCTATTGGAGGATAGATGGGCTAATGAGAGCATAGGCATGGGGTCGAAGAGGTATGGGGTAGGTTTAAAAATGTAGTGTTGAGTGTTCAGCAGAAGTTTGTGGTTACAGGAAAGTGGGTGCAGGAGGGAAGAGGAGCGATTGGTGGAATGATGATGTAAAGAGAGTAGTAAGGGAGAAAAAAGTTAGCATATGAGAAGTTTTACAAAGTAGAAGTGATGCAAGGAGGGAAGAGTATATGGAGAAAAAGAGAGAGGTTAAGAGCATGGTGAAGCAATGTAAAAAGAGAGCAAATGAGAGAGTGGGTGAGATGTTATCAACAAATTTTGTTGAAAATAAGAAAAAGATTTGGAGTGAGATTAACAAGTTAAGAAAGCCTAGAGAACAAATGGATTTGTCAGTTAAAAATAGGAGAGGAGAGTTATTAAATGGAGAGTTACAGATATTGGGAAGATGGAGGGAATATTTTGAGGAATTGTTAAATGTTGATGAAGATAGGGAAGCTGTGATTTCGTGTATAGGGCAAGGAGGAATAACATCTTGTAGGAGTGAGGAAGAGCCAGTTGTGAGTGTGGGGGAGTTCGTGAGGCAGTAGGTAAAATGAAAGGGGGTAAGGCAGCCGGGATTGATGGGATAAAGATAGAAATGTTAAAAGCAGGTGGGGATATAATTTTGGAGTGGTTGGTGCAATTATTTAATAAATGTATGGAAGAGGGTAAGGTACCTAGGGATTGGCAGAGAGTATGCATAGTTCCTTTGTATAAAGGCAAAGGGGATAAAAGAGAGTGCAAAAATTATATGGGGATAAGTCTGTTGAGTATACCTGGTAAAGTGTATGGTAGAGTTATAATTGAAAGAATTAAGAGTAAGACGGAGAATAGGATAGCAGATAAACAAGGAGGCTTTAGGAAAGGTAGGGGGTGTGTGGACCAGGTGTTTACAGTGAAAACATATAAGTGAACAGTATTTAGATAAGGCTAAAGAGGTCTTTGTGGCATTTATGGATTTGGAAAAGGCGTATGACAGGTGGATGGGGGGCAATGTGGCAATGTTGCAAGTGAAAGGTGTAGGAGGTAGGTTACTTAAAGCAGTGAAGAGTTTTTTATGGGGATAGTGGGGGGCCCTCAAGTTAGAGTATGTAGGAAAGGGGGAAAATTTATTTCCCAGTGAAAGTAGGCCTTAACAAGATGTTGATGTCACCTTTGGTTGTTTAATATATTTATAGATGGGGTTGTAAGAGAAGTAAATGCGAGGTCTTGGCAAGAGGCGTGGATTAAAAGATAAAGAATCACACACAAAGTGGGAGTTGTCACATTTGCTCTTTGCTGATGACACTGTGCTTTTGGGAGATTCTGAAGAGAAGTTTGCAGAGATTGGGGGATGAATTTGGTAGGGTGTGCAAAAGAAGAAATTAAAGGTAATACAGGAAAAGTAAGGTTATGAGGATAACAAAAAGATTAGGTGTGAAAGATTGAATATCAGATTGGAGGGAGAGAGTATGGAGGGGGTGAATGTATTCAGATATTAGGAGTGGACGTGCAGCGGATGGGTCTATGAAAGATGAGGTGAATCATAGAATTGATGAGGGGAAAAGAGTGAGTGGTGCACTTGGGGAGTCTGTGGAGACAAAGAACTTTGTCCTTGGAGGCAAAGAGGGGAATGTATGAGAGTATAGTTTTACCAACGCTCTTTTATGGGTGTGAAGCATGGGTGATGAATGTTGCAGCGAGGAGAAGGCTGGAGGCAGTGGAGATGTCATGTCTGAGGGCAATGTGTGGTGTGAATATAATGCAAGAATTCATAGTTTGGAAGTTAGGAGGAGGTGCGGGATTACCAAAACTGTTGTCCAGAGGGCTGAGGAAGGGTTGTTGAGGTGGTTCGGACATGTAGAGAGAATGGAGCGAAACAGAATGACTTCAAGAGTGTATCAGTCTGTAGTGGAAGGAAGGCGGGGTGGGGGTCGGCCTAGGAAAGGTTGGAGAGAGGGGGTAAAGGAGGTTTTGTGTGCGAGGGGCTTGGACTTCCAGCAGGCATGCGTGAGCATGTTTGATAGTGAATGGAGACAAATGGTTTTTAATACTTGACGTGCTGTTGGAGTGTGAGCAAAGTAACATTTATGAAGGGGTTCAGGGAAACCGGCAGGCCGGACTTGAGTCCTGGAGATGGGAAGTACAGTGCCTGCACTCTGAAGGAGGGGTGTTAATGTTGCAGTTTAAAAACTGTAGTGTGAAGCACCCTTCTGGCAAGACAGTGATGGAGTGAATGATGGTGAAAGTTTTTCTTTTTCGGGCCACCCTGCCTTGGTGGGAATCGGCCAGTGTGAGAATAATAATAATAATAATGTATTACTTATTACCAAACTTCTTTCTACACATAGCTCAATTAAAGGCTCCCCATTTTCATTTACTTCCCAGTAATGGTAGATAAGACACATAGGCAACATTTAGGCAACTTCATTCCGAAATGTTTCGCCTACACTTTAGGCTTCTTCAGTCGAGTACAGAAAGTAGGCAGGACCAGTAGAGATGTGAAGATGATGTAATCAGTCCATCACCCTTGAAGTCGTACATTTGAGATTGTCAATCCCTCATCCTTGAGAAATTCTGTTCAAAGTCTGAAACTAACTGAAGATCAAGTGACAGTGTTGAATTTTAAATACTGTCGGAAGGAGGGGTGCAGAGTAGGAGTAGTGAGAATGTAGCCACTGGGAGGTCATGTCCCTCTCAGATCAAACAATTCTCACTTGAAAAAATTGTTTGATCTGAGAGGGACATGACCTCCCAGTGGCTACATTCTCACTATTACTACTCTGCACCTCTCCTTCCAACAGTATTTAAGTCTCAATACTGTCGCTTGATCTTCAGTTAGTTCCAGACTTTGGAACAGAATTTCTCCAGGCCGAGGGACTGACAACCTCAAATCTATGACTTCAAGGGTGATGGACTGATTACATCATCTTCACATCTCTACTGCTCCTGCCTACTTTCTGTACTCAACTGAAGAAGCCTACTGTGTAGACGAAACGTTTCGGAATAAAGTTGCCTAAATGTTGCCTATGTGTCTTATCTACCAACCTGTCAGTATTGTATACCATTTGATAATCACTTCCCAGTAATAGTAGGTCTTAGACAGGGATGTGTAACATCTTCATGGTTCTTTAATATATTTATAGATGGGGTTGTGAAGGAGGTAAATGCTAGGATGTTGGGGAGAGGGGTAGGATTAAATTATGGGGAATCAAGTACAAAATGGGAGTTGACACAGTTACTTTTTGCTGATGATACTGTGCTTATGGGAGATTCTAAAGAAAAGTTGCAAAGGTTAATGGATGAGTTTGGGAGGGTGTGTAAAGGTAGAAAGTTGAAAGTGAACATAATAAAGAGTAAGGTGATGAGGGTATCAAACAGTTTAGATAAAGAAAAATTGGATATCACATTGGAGAGAGGGAGTATGGAAGAAGTGAATGTTTTCAGATATTTGGGACTAGACGTGTCAGTGGATGGGTTTATGAAGGATGAAGTTAACCATAGAATTGATGAAGAAAAAAAGGTGAGTAGTGCATTGAGGTATATGTAGAGACAAAAAAGCATTATCTATGGAGGCAAAGAAGGGAATATATGAAAGTGTAGTGGTACCAACATTTATATGGGTGTGAAGCTTGGGTTGTAAATGCTGCAGCGAGGAAGGGGTTGGAGTCAGTGGAAATGTCCTGTCTAAGGGCAATGTGTGGTGTAAATATTATGCAGAGAATTCGACTGGAAATTCGGAGAAGGTGTGGAGTTAATAAAAGTATAAGAGGGCTGAAGAGGGGTTGTTGAGGTGGTTTGGTCATTTAGAGAGAATGGATCAAAGTAGAATGACATGGAGAGCATATAACATGCATTTGCAACATGCAAATGCAGTGTTGAAATGACCTTTTACAGTTGTATGTATAAGCATTTATTGCTTACAGTGTATTGAAAAATTGAAAACACAACATTTAAGCTAAAATTTAACAAGAAATATGCTGTATACACAAACTGTAAGTTATCTTGTACCAAAGTTGAGGAATGTTAATATTTTTAAAATTAACTTAACACAGATAGAGATCTTAGAAGAGCAACTCCTGAAACACAAAGTTGAAGTGCAGCAGCTGATGGCTGAAAGGGATACCATCCGAAATGAGTTTGAAGGTGAGTACAGTATTTAAAATTAATTTCTTGAGCAAATCGAAATGATATAGCAGTGTGATTTGAATTATTAAATTTTTATGACTGTTTAGGTAAGCAATTGGCTGCTTATTAACCCTTTGACTGTTTCAGGCCCCTCTCTGAAACTGTCATTCTATGTCGCCAAATATTCAAAAAAAAAAAAATTATTTTTTCTTATGAAAATGTTAAGATTATTTTTCTGAGTGTTTTAGTCCAAAAAAAAAATTTTTGCCATTGGTACTTACCAAGATATAGAGCCGTGAAGTTTGCAGAAAATGAGCCGCGTATGGCAACAGCGGCGACTGCCGCTCACCCGGTAAACTTTAGTTTACTTGTATTTGAAGGTTTGTTGTTTTTTTCACTATTTTATTTTTTCACATAACTTATGTGGCCTATGAGACCAAAGTAAGGTGCAATGTATATATATACACTCGTTGTATACAACACAATAAGCACACAAACATAATTATCAATATATTGTTTACAAAACTTGTTTACACAAACAAACAAACAAACAAACAAAAAAATTCTTCCCTTTTTCTTCTTCTTCTTCTTCTTCTTCTTCTTCTTCTTCTTTCTTCTTCTTCTTCTTTCTTCTTCTTCTCCTTCTCCTTCTCCTTCTCCTTCTCCTTCTCCTTCTTCTCCTTCTTCTCTCTTCTCCTTCTTCTCCTTCTCCTCCTTCTCCTCCTTCTCCTCCTTCTCCTTCTTCTCCTTCTTCTCCTTCTTCTCCTTCTTCTCCTTCTTCTCCTTCTTCTCCTTCTTCTCCTTCTTCTCCTTCTTCTCCTTCTCCTTCTTCTCCTTCTTCTCCTTCTTCTCCTTCTTCTCCTTCTTCTCCTTCTTCTCCTCCTTCTCCTCCTTCTCCTCCTTCTCCTCCTTCTTCTCCTATCTCCTTCTTCTCCTTCTCCTTCTTCTCCTTCTCCTTCTTCTCCTTCTCCTTCTTCTCCTTCTTCTCCTTCTCCTTCTTCTCCTTCTCCTTCTTCTCCTTCTCTCTTCTTCTTCTCCTTCTCCTTCTCCTTCTTCTCCTTCTCCTTCTTCTCCTCCTTCTTCTCCTCCTTCTTCTCCTCCTTCTTCTCCTCCTTCTTCTCCTCCTTCTTCTCTCCTTCTTCTCCTCCTTCTTCTTCTCCTTCTTCTTCTCCTTCTTCTCCTCCTTCTTCTTCTCCTTCTTCTTCTCCTTCTTCTCCTCCTTCTTCTCCTCCTTCTTCTCCTCCTCCTCCTCCTTCTCCTCCTCCTCCTTGTGTGCGAGTGTGTGGCTTATAATTGTTTTGAGTCAGAAGTCGGCAGCTGTCAAAGTGACATATTATCTCATTAGTCACTACCCTACCCTGTCAAAACAATGGGGTCGGATGCTGCTTCCCCTCCTCCATTCTATCTAATTATCTTTCTCCCTCATTCTATATCTTTCAATCTGTCTCTCTTTCTGTCTGCCTATCTCTGTCTCACAGGTACACATAAATACAAGTATACATAGTGTAAATTACCTAGGATAACCCAAGAAATCCAGACAAAGTGCTATACTCTGCTTGAAGATGTGAGTAAAGTGATGACACAGTCTTGTGGCTCTCTCTGAGACAGAGAGCTAGATGGACAGACAGGGAGCTTGACAGACAGACAAATAGACAGACAGAAATGTTTGTGTACCAGCAAAAACAAAGGGAGGCGATGGTCATGTAATATTACCCTCCTTTACCCTCATCAAAGTCAGCTCTTATCAGATGTTATCTCCCTTATCTTGTCACTGTCATGGGTGGACTTTTTTTTTTCTTGCTTCAAGGGAACAATATTATTACATCTTCTTCTTCCTCCTCTCCTTCCTCTTCTCCTCCTCCTCCTCCTCCTCCCTCCTCTTCCTTCCCTCCTCCTCCTCCTCCTCCTCCTCTTCCTCCCCTCCTCCTCCTCCATTGCTTTTGGTCTCAAACTCCTCCAAATCATGAAATTGATCTTCACTGACACTTCCATCTGTGTTAGAGCATCACTTGGGAAGAGAAGAGTCCCAGATTTGCTGGGGAATCACATATTTCTTACCACTAGACATGCTGAAAAATGACAACTGAAATGGCATTCCCACAATGCACCACTGGCTCCCCGATTTTTTTTATATGGTGCACACTGACCATGGAGACCCATTCTCTCACATGTGGGCCTAGCAGCTTTCTCCTGCTTGATTTGAAGCTGCTAGAATTTATGCGTATAAATACGTCAGAAACATTGGCTCGTAAGACGTATTTATACGTCGGAAACAGTCAAAGGGTTAAACATATATTAATTAAAGAAGTTAACAAAATTGACATGAAAGTGGAGCATTTAAGAACAGAGCATTTCTGTTTATATGTTTCCATTTTATCATAAGCATAATTAAATCTGCATTTTTTTTTTGTAACTCAAAGTATCTAATGCAGATTTTCTAGTCACCTAATTGACTAACCTGATTTGTCAGATGACGCCTGTGTCCCAGTAATTAAGGGATGAAAATATTGTACTGCAGTGGATCGTTGATTAAGAATTAATCTTTAAGGACCTTTTTGCTATATGACAGTTGAAGAATTGCATCAGTTTTTCGATCACGACGCTGTGATGTTTATTTATAATGGTATAACTATAGGAAAATATACCTAAAAACCTGTATAAGTAGGCTAGTAACTGATAATTTCACTGTAACTTCACACTGCTGTTCCATTAACAGCCATTCACTTACCCTAGCTGTATTTACACAAATGTTGAATGTGTTAGTGATTGATATTTAAGTGTGGAAAGTACAGTAGTAAACAAAAAAGTGTTAACAAATGTATTGTACAAGGTCTCGTCAACCCTCTCCACATATTTCCATATCAACTAACAATAATATCTGGAATGGAATGAATAGAAAGCTTTACATTTTTTTTTTCTGGGGGGTTTAATTAATGTAACTATATTTTTCTCATGTTCTTCAATTCATTTTAGATTAGACGATGTTTTCAGAAATGTAATGACCATCTTAATCAATGGTCAGCTGTACTTGTACCTATGTCTTCATTCATATAGGCAGTATTTTTATATTAACTCAGCAATTGTCAATTACAGTCTGTTTAGTTAGCCCCATTAATTATTCAGCAATAACAATGATCAGTGTTTCATTTTGAGAGTTTTGCGGTCAGTTACTGCAGGCAATTTAGTGGTACTCTTTTTAATTCTTATTTTTGATATATGTACTGTATCCAACATAACATAATAAAATGCTCTTTTCTTTTTACTACTCATTTTTGCAATGCTGAAGCATCTTATTATGTAACCTGGAATTCTTGTTTTGGAGGTGGTAATTTCATGCACTGGCCAGGGAGGTATAACATCTTTTAGGAGTGAAGAAGAGCAGGATGTGAGTGTAGGGGAAGTGCATGAGGCATTACATAGAATGAAAATGGGTAAAGCAGCAGGAACTGATGGGATCATGACAGAAATGTTAAAAGCAAGGGGGGATATAGTGTTAGAGTGATTGGTATTTTTGTTTAATAAATGTATGAAAGAGGGGAAGGTACCTAGGTATTGGCAGAGAGCATGTATAGTTCTTTTATATAAAGGGAAGGGGGACAAAAGAGATTGTAAAAATTATAGGGGAGTAAGTTTACCGAGTCCTAGGCAGTAGGTTGGTAGACAGCAACTGCCCAAGGAGGTACTGCCGTCTTGCCAGGTGACTGTAAAATAAAAACCTGTAATTGTTTTATATGATTGTAGGATTGCTGGTGTCTCTTTTTCTGTCTCATAAACATGCAAGATTTCAGGTAGGTTGTGCTCCTTCTATTTACATTAAGGTCATACTACACGTGCATGTACAAGCATATATATACAGACCCTTCTGGGTTTTCTTCCATTTTACTTACTAGTTCTTGTTCTTGTTTATTTCCACTTATCTCCATGGGGAAGTGGAAACAGAATTCTTCCTCCGTAAACCATGCATGTCGTAAGAGTCGACTAAAATGCCGGGAGCAAGGGGTTAGTAACTCCTCCTCCTGTATATATTATTAAATGTAAAAGGAGAAACTTTCGTTTTTCTTTTTGGGCCACCCTGCCTCGGTGGGATACAGCCGGTGCGTTGAAAGAAGAGAAGTTTACTGAGTATACCAGATAAACTGTACTGTAGGGTTAGTATTGAAATAATGAGAGGTAAGACAGAGTAGGATTGCAGATGAGCAAGGAGGCTTTAGAGTGGGTAGAGGATATGTAGATCAAGTGTTTACATTGAAGCATATACTATGTGAACAATATTTAGATAAAGGTAGGGAAGTTGTCATTGCATTTATGGATTTAGAAAAGGCATATGATAGAGTGGATAGGGGAGCAATGTGGCAGATGTTACAAGTGTATGGAATAGGTAGTAAGTTACTAAATGCTGTAAAGAGTTTTTATGATTATAGTGAGGCTCAGGTTAGGGTGTGTAGAAGAGAGGGAGACTACTTCCCAATAAAAGTAGGTCTTAGACAGAGATGTGTAATGTCACCATGGTTATTTAATATATTTATAGATGGGGTCGTAAAAAAAGTAAATGCTAGGGTGTTGGGGAGAGGAGTGGGAGTAAATTATGGGATATCAAGTACAAAATGGGAGTTGACAGTTACTTTTTGCTGATGATACTGTGCTTATGGAAGACTAAAGAAAAGTTGCAAAAGGTTAATGGACGAGTTTGGAAGGGTGTGTAAAGGTAAAAAGTTGAAAGTGAACATAGGAAAGAGTCAGGTGATGAGGGTATCAAATGATTTAGATAAAGAAAAATTGGATATCACATTGGAGATAGGGAGTATGGAAGAAATTAATGTTTTCAGATATTTGGGAGTTGATGTGTCAGTGGATGGGTTTATGAAGAATGAGGTTAACCATAGAATTGATGAAGGAAAAAAGGTGAATGGTGCATTGAGGTATCTGTGGATACAAAAAAACGTTATCTCTGGAGGCAAAGGGAATGTATGAAAGTATAGTGGTATCAACACACTTATATGGGTGTGAAGCTTGGGTTGTAAATGCTGCAGCGAGGAGGCGGCTGGAGGCAGTGAAGATGTCCTGTCTAAGGGCAATGTGTGGTGTAAATATTATGCAGAGAATTTGAAGTGTGGAAATTAGGAGGAGGTGTGGAGTTACTAAAAGTATTAGTCAGAGGGCTGAAGAGGGGTTGTTGAGGTGGTTTGGTCATTTAGAAAGAATGGATCAAAGTAGAATGACATGGAGAGCGTATAAATTTGTAGGGGAAGGAAGGAAGGGGAGGGGTCGTCCTAGAAAAGGTTGGAGGGAGGGGGTAAAGGAGGTTTTGTGGGTGAGTGGCTTGGACTTCCAGCAAGCATGTGTGACCGTGTTAGATGGGAGTAAATGGAGACAAATGGTTTTTGGGACTTGATGAGTTGTTGGAGTGTGAAGAGGGTAATATTTAGTGAAGGGATTCATGGAAACTGGTTATTATAGATTTAGCCGGACTTGAGTCCTGGAAATGGGAAGTACAATGCCTGCACTTTAAAGGAGGGGTCTGGGATATTGACAGTTTGGAGGGACTTTTAAACTGTCGTTTCTGAGCGCCTCTGTGAAGACAGTGATTATGTATGAGTGAGGTGAAAGTGTTTAATGATGATGAAAGTATTTTCTTTTTGGGGATTTTTTTTTCTTTTTGGGTCACCCTGCCTCAGTGGGAGATGGCCGACTTGTTAAAAAAAAAAAAAAAAAAAAAGAATAATTCTACCTTTATACAGTAGGTCTAGTGACACTGCAATCTATTTTGATTTTCTTTAACGACAGATATCAGTTTATCTTCCATACTTTTTCTGTTCTGAGTAAAAGTCACCTGTAACAAGAGAACTTTCCTTTATTCATACAGTGTATATAAGCTTTGACCATTAAACATCTTCCTTGTTTACTTGTATCACCTGCTCATTAGATTACATAGGGTAATGGTTTTCTTTAGTTTATATTTGTCATATGTTTATTATTTCACTTGTAATAAAAGTTTGCAAGTTGCATATTTTAACACCATAATTAATTAGCTTCTACTAAGGTAAACCTTTTCTTTGTAAACTACATGATAAAAGCTTACTTATTTGTGCATCTCGCATAATTTTACATACTCTAAATAAAAGTGTTGATTGTGTCATCATTCTTTATTAATAGGATATAGGGTCAGAGCTGCCAGCGTCTTGCGGCAAAAAAGTCGTCCACCAGACGTTAACATAAATGAGCTGCAGAGTGAGAAGGAGGAACTCCAAGCTGATTGTGAAGTTGCTCAGCTAAAAGTTCAACAGCTACAGTGAGCATCCCATTAAAATTATGTATTTTGAATATAATGTAAGTTTGACTGTTGGTAAAATATCAGTTCACTACAGAAAACTTGAAATATTATTTTAGGCTGAGAATATGACATTGAGTAAGGAGTAACTTAATATATTAGGTAATAATTGGTGAGTGTGTGCTAACAGTCTAGATTATAGAAGAAAAACATTGTTCATAGTAAGATTGAAGAGGGTTGTATGCTTACAACCCAACCAATTCATTTGAAGAAAAAAAATTATGACATTTGCATTATAAAATACAGAAGTTCAGAAAATTGCATGAAAACAAGAAAAAGTAATTATTCTCATTCATATAATAATGAGTGAGGGTGTGTAAATAAAGAAAGTTGAAAGTGAATATAGATTAGAGTAAGGTGATGACGGTATCGAAAAGTAGGTAAACAAAAATTGAATATCACATTGGAGGGAGGGAATATGGAAGAAGTGAATGTGTTCAGATATTTGGGAGTAGATTTGTCAGCAGATAGGTTTATGAAGGACGAGGTTAACTCTAGAAATGATGAAGGAAAAAAGGCAAGTGGTGCATTGAAGTTTCTGTGGAGACAAAGAATGTTATCCATGGAGGCAAAGAAAGGAATGTACGAGAGTATAGTGGTACCAACAATCTTATATGGGTGTGAAGCAAGGGTTGTAAATGCTGCAGTGAGGAGGCGGCTGGAGGCAATGGAGATGTCATATTTAAGGGCAATGTGTGGTGTTAATATTATGCAGAGAATTTGTAGTGTGGGAATTAGGAGTAGGTGTGGAGTTATTAAAAGTACAGTGGACCCCCGCCTTACGATATTAATCGGTTCCTGAGAGCTCATCGTATGCCAAAATTATCGTAAGGTGAATTAATTTTCCCCATAAGAAATAATGGAAATCAAATTAATCCGTTCCTGACACCCCAAAGTATGAAAAAAAAATTTTTTTACCATATGAAATATTAATTGTAATACACACAAACTGAAGAAGACATGCACAGTTAATACTCTATTAAGAATAGAATACATGACACTTACCTTTATTGAAGATCTTGTGATGATTGATGGGATGGGAGGAGGGGAGAGTGTGGAAGTTGTTATTGATTAGAAGGGGAATCCCCTTCCATTAGGACTTGAGTTATCAAGTCCTTTTCTGGGGTTACTTCCCTTCTTCTTTTAATGCCACTTGGACCAGCTTGAGAGTCACTGGACCTCTGTCGCACAACATATCTGTCCATAGAGCTCTGTACCTCTTGTTCCTTTATGATTTGTCTAAAGTGGTTCACAACATTGTCATTGTACAGGTTCCCAACACGGCTTGCAGTAGCTGTGTCAGGGTGAGATTTTCATCCGTAAAGGTTTGCAGTTCGACCCACTTTGCACACATTTCCTTAATCTCTTTTTTCAATTCCATACTAATTCTCACCCTTTTTACCACAGGGATGGCACTAGAAGCTTTCTTGGCATCCATGGTGACTTATTTTGCAGTTACAAGCACTAAAAACACTGGGATAATGTGAAATGTATTGAATGTATGTGTAGATGTGACCGCACTGGCTGGCTTGTAAACACTGGCGCTGAGGCCACACGTGGGACGCGTCCCGGACGAATCACGTTAGGCGAGTTTTTTATCATGAGGCGAGGCAAAATTTTTGCATTAAAATGTATCGTATGGCGGATTTAATGTAACGCGATGCCATCGTAAGGCAGGGGTCCACTGTATTAGTCAGAGGGCTGAAGAGAGGCTGTTGAGGTGGTTTGGTCATTTAGAGAGAATAGAACAAAGTAGAATGACTTGGAAAGTATACAAATATGTCAGGGAAGGAAGGCGCGGTAGAGGTCGTCCCCATGAAGGTTGGAGGAAGGGGGTAAAGGGCGTTTTGTGGGCGAGAGGCTTGGACTTCCAGCAAGCGTGCGTGAGTGTGTCAGATAGGAGTGAATGGAGATGAATGGTTTTTGGGACCTGATGAGCTTTTGGAGTGTGAACAGGGTAATATTTTGTGAAAGGATTCAGGGAAACCAGTTCTTCACTCCTAAAAGATGTTATACCTCTCTGGCCAGTGCATGAAATTACCATTTCCCTTTCTTCATCAACATTTAAAAGTTCCTGAAAATATTCCCACCATCTACCCAATACCTCCAGGTCCCCATCACTAACTCCCCTTCTCTGTTTTTAACTGACAAATCCAGTCATTCCCTAGGCTTTCTCAACTTATCTCCAAAATTTTCTCTTATTTTCAGCAAAATTTCTTGACAATGCCTCTCCCACTCTAATATCTGTTCTCCTTTTGCACTCTCTCACCACTGTCTTCACCTTTCTTTTACTCTCCATATACTCTGCTCTTCTTATAACACTTCTGCTTTGTAAAAACCTGGTGTCTTTTTTTCTGTTTCAAACATGCAAGATTTCAGGTACATCTTGCTACTTCTACTTACACTTAGGTGACACTATGCATGCATGTACATGTTTATGTATACACAATCATCTGAGTTTTCTTTGATTTTATCTTAATAGTTCTTATTCTTATTGCTTTTCCTTTCATATCCTTGGGGAAGCGGATTAAGAATTTTTCGTAAACAATGTGTGTTGTAAAAGTCAACCAAAATACCGGAAACAATGGGCCAGTAACCCCTTTTCCCGGGTAGCTTACTAAAAACAAAATGAAGATTATATCTTTAGATATGCTTCTAAACTGTCATATCTGAGCACCTCTGCAAAGACAGTGGTTGTGTATGAGTGAGGTGAAAGTTGAATGATGAAAGTATTTTCTTTTTGGAGATTTATTTCTTTTTGGATCACCCTGCCTCGGTGAGAGACGGCTGACTTGCTGAAAAGAAAATGTATATATATCTGTGTCGTGCTGGACAGGTAAAACTGGTCAATTAGCAATAACCTGTTTAAAATTAAATCCTTTCTAAAATTTCCTCTTATACGTTTAGAGATACATTTTTTCATGTACATTAATATAAAAATTAATGATTTTGTACCAAAAGGACCTTAGGAAACTTGCTTAACCTTATTATAACAAGCGCAGTTTAATTTTGCCTAATCTAACTTAATATATTTTTATGTAAGTTTACAATAATTTATAAACAAACACAATTAAATATATTTTATTCATTAGGTTCAGAATGATTTTTGTAAAATTATTGCATACTTTTACGAGGGTCTTGGCAAAAGGTGTTGAGTTAAAAGATAAAGAATCAAACACAAAGTGGGAGTTGTCACAGTTGCTTTTTGCTGATGACACTGCGCTCTTGAGAGATTCTGAAGAGAAGTTGCAGAGGTTGGCGGATGAATTTGGTAGGGTATGTTTTGTGGGCAAGGGGCTTGGACTTCCAGCAGGCGTGCATGAGCGTGTTCGATAGGAGTGAATGGAGACGAATGGTATTTGGGACCTGACTATCTGTTAGAGTGTGAGCAGGGTAATATTTAGTGAAGGGATTCAGGGAAACCAGTTATTTTTATATAGCCAGACTTGAGTCCTGGAAATGGGAAGTACAATGCCTGCACTCTAAAGGAGGGGTTTTGGGATATTAGCAGTTTGGAGGGATATGTTGTGTATCTTTATACGTTTTTTTTTTTTCAACAAGTCGGCCGTCTCCCACCGAGGCAGGGTGACCCAAAAAAGAAAGAAAATCCCCGAAAAGAAAATACTTTGATCATCATTCAACACTTTCACCACACTCACACATTATCACTGTTTTTGCAGAGGTGCTCAGAATACAACAGTTTAGAAGCATATACATACATATAAAGATACACAACATATCCCTCCAAACTGCCAATATCCCAAACCCCTCCTTTAAAGTGCAGGCATTGTACTTCCCATTTCCAGGACTTAAGTCCGACTATACGAAAATAACCGGTTTCCCTGAATCCCTTCACTAAATATTACCCTGCTCACACTCCAACAGATCGTCAGGTCCCAAGTACCATTCGTCTCCATTCACTCCTATCGAACACGCTCATGCACGCCTGCTGGAAGTCCAAGCCCCTCGCACACAAAACCTCCCTTACCCCTTCCTTCCAACCTTTTCGAGGACGACCCCTACCCCGCCTTCCTTCTCCTACAGATTTAAATGCTCTCCATTTCATTCTACTTTGATCCATTCTCTCTAAATGACCAAATCACCTCAACCCCTCTTCAGCCCTCTGACTAATACTTTTATTAACTCCACACCTTCTCCTAATTTCCTCACTCCGAATTTTCTGCATAATATTTACATCAAACGTTGCCCTTAGACAGGACATCTCCACTGCCTCCAACCGCCTCCTCGCTGCTGCATTCACAACCCAAGCTTCACACCCATGTAAGAGTGTTGGTACTACTATACTTTCATACATTCCTTTCTTTGCCTCCATAGACAGCGTTTTTTTGTCTCCACATATACCTCAATGCACCACTCACCTTTTTTCCCTCATCAATTCTATGATTAAACCCTCTTTCCTTCATAAATTCATCGGGCCGGGGACAGGGTAAAACCCCCAAAGATTAAAAAACCTTTTGACTTTTTCCCCATACTCCCCCTCCCCAATTACCCCCAAAAGGGGGCTGTTTGAGTGTTTGGGTCCCCCGAACGAATTTGTTCCCAAAAAGGAAAAAATAAGATTTAGTCAATTTCACCCCCCAAAAAAAAGTTCTGGGAAGGGTACAGCCAGAGTGAAGTTGCTGCTTTCTGCCCGTCTTGTGGCTTTAAAAAGGGGTTTCCCAAAACTGTCCTCAAATGGTAAAGTGTGGTACTTTGCAATATTGGCCTTGTCCCATAACTTTTAAGGCCACCCAATCCCCCCTATGTTGAAGGCTCTGCTAAAATGACGGGATCTACCGGGATGGGTCCAGGCGAAAAGAGACTTTTCTTCTCTGTTCTCTATTTGGTAAAGCGTCGCAGATGGGGGGGGGGGGGCGGAAAACCCAAGAAAGTGGATTTTTACTCAAGGTGCGGGGGCGTATTGTGCCCATACGGAATCTTGAAAACCCCCCTACTTTTAA